CCGCCGCAGTCAGTAAAGACAATTCCAAATTTAATTTGAATTTCTTTCTGATCTTGTTTATTTTTCGAGTGCATCTAATTACGGTAGATTAAGTTAATGGTGATTTTATTTTTGTTTATATCACAAAGGTGGCTTATTTCTTTGAAATTAGTTAGATCTAAATTTTAGTTGTTCATTAGCGATATAGTTGGAGAAATTATTGTTGACCAGAATTCTTTTTACGTTGCTGAATTCTTTACACAATGTGTGGGAAGAAGAAATTATTCTTGCTTTTCGGTTGTTCCTGATTTTTAAGATGACCATTTTATATTAATGCGAACGTTCACATTTGTAACTGAGAAGAAACGTATTTTTACCTTTGACTTTTTTCATACAGAGAAATAGTCAAGTGATGACGATTAGTTTCTGATAAAATGTCACGGAAAAAGGATTCTTTTGTTAATGTTAACTTCATATATAAATTGTCGAGCAGAGTTTTCCTCGAGGTATATATATATATATATATATATATATATATATATATATATATATATATATTTTAATATATCTGTCCTTTTCATTTGTATGAATATATGAACAATCGAAAAGAAATCACAATTTGCAGAATTGTTAAATTTTTTGTTTTCTACATGAGACTGTCTGTTTCGCCACTGAAACGATCATCAGACTTAATTTATCTTTCACTCCCTATTTTCGTCCTTCCACTTTCACTCTCTCCCCTCTCTCTGTCTATGATCTTATATATACATATATATATATATATATATATATATATATATATATATATATATATATATATAGTTAGTTAGTTAGAGTTAGTTAGCTTATGAAAAACTAGGTAATCCGTAGGTTTATGAAAAACTAGGTAATCCGTATCCAAGGAGGATAAAATCCAGAGATCTTAATGTAAATCCAGAGCAAATAATTTAAATAAAAACAGACCACTTTAAGGTTCTATGTAATAAATTATTTCACCACAGCCCTTTTAAAGGACTGCGGATCATCAGACTTTACTTCCAAAGGTTGAAACAAAAAAAATGAATAGAAATTTACACATTTTTGACGGGCCGTATTAAGCATATGTAAATTAACGAAGTGAGGAAGTGAGGAGGGGAGAGAGAGAAGACAAGAGCGAGTTTGATGTAATTTAAAATTTCTATTCTTTCATATTTAAATTACTTGAGGATGTCCAGACATTGATACATTTAAACGGTTAACTTAACGGAAGTTATATATTGATATCGAAGGGGTAGAGGAGAAAAAACACATAAAAAAAAAAAAAAAACACATAAAAAGAAAAAGAGAGAAGGAAGTCATAGAAACCAAAATATGGTTGCTGAATTAGAAACTTTACTGGGTTTTTTTTTTCTGAATGTGTTAACCAAACATGCACTAGAATTTGGCTTAAACATCAATATTACAAAAACGAAGTGCATGAAAGTTATAAAAATAGTTCCAATCTCACAAACTACAACCAGCAGATCACTGAAGTTGCAGAGTTTGTATATTTAGGTCACAAGCGATCATCAAATGGAATGTTTATTTTGCAGCATCGCATCGTTCTGGGTTTGTCAGTTTTCAACAGGAACAAAGAAATGCTAAAATGAAAACAATTGTCTTATCTTTAATACTTACATCCTACCAGTTATATGGTCTCGATTGTGTTAACTGGACGCCATCGTCACTTCAAAATCTAGCTATTATCCAGAGCCATATTATGAGACTTAACAGACGCCTCACTGACCATATCTCTATCAGTAATCTACTCAAGATTAACAAGCTTAAGCCAATCAGATCAGTTATCAAGTCAAGAGGACTTAAACTGTATGGTTATATCACAAGATTAACTCACGGTCTGAGTAAGTTATGCCTAGAAGGGAAGTTAGCTTGTAAAAGAAGCAAATGTCGACAGTCAAAACGCTGGCTTGATAATGTCCATTTATGGACTGGACTTGACCTTTTACTCTTTGAACTCAGCTGTCGGTGAAAGAACTTTGCGGGGAAGAATATTTCACGTTGATGCGCAGAATACGGACTTGGCTGTCTACACTTGGCTGGTAACCAAACTAGGAGAAGATTCGATATTAAAAATCGATTAACCCTAGAAATATTTTAAAAAACAAAAACATTGGATTTTTGTAAGTATTTAAAACCATCTACTTTGTCGTTAATTTCACTTCAAGCATGTCAATAATATCTCTAGGATGGAGGAGGTTGCTGAGTGAGGAAGAAGCACAGGATAGTATTAATGAACAGTATTCAAGGAAACAGAACATGACGATTGACATTGAATTTACCGTAATTGTAGACGTGTATTTACAAGGGTTAAACATGAAAAAACGAATATCTCGTGTTGATGCGCGGTCTGTAACAAGTGGAGTAAAAGACTGATGATGATACCAACTAAATATACTAGATGTGAATTAATAATTGCTTCAAGAGGACTTTCTTTTAACCCTTTCACTTCAAGCATGTCAATAATATCTCTAGGATTAGGAGGATGCTGAGTGAGGAAAGGGTTAAACATGTGTAGAAAAAAGGGTTAAAATGAAAAAACGAATATCTCGTGTTGATGCGCGGTCTGTAACAAGTGGAGTAAAAGACTGATGATGATACCAACTAAATATACTAGATGTGAATTAATAAAGACAGCTTCAAGAGAAGGGATGCTTTCTTTTTAACCCTTTCACTTCAAGCATGTCAATAATATCTCTAGGATGTAGGAGGATGCTGAGTGAGGAAGAAGCACAGGATAGTATTAATGAACAGTATTCAAGGAAACAGAACATGACGATTGACATTGAATTTACCATAATTTCCCATGTATAATACGCCTACATCCATAATACGCATCCTAAAATTGTGCTGAAATTGTGGAAAAATGTTTCTACTCACGCATAATACGCACCCCTGGTTTGGTAATCAAAACCTATAAATAGTAAATTCATTACGTCCAGCGTTTCTTACTGTTATTATAAAAAATCATGTTAAACATAGAATAATATTATTCTAATTTAGTTTTTATTTTACATTTATAAGTATTGTTAGGTTCATATTGTATTTGACATCCTTATGAGGCCGTAATCGCCGAATGTTAGTGTCAAATTGTCGTATGTTTGTGATGAGTAGTCATTGCGCAACTGAAATCGACCTATGAAACAGCAATTTTTTTTAAGATACTTTTGTAATTGTGCATAATACGCAACCCTAATTTTACTTATTATTTTTAGAAAAATTGCGTATTATACATGGAGAATTATGGTTCATTTTTGAACATCGTAGTTAAAAGGAACTCATCAAGCCGGAAGAGAGTTCCACAAGAAAGAAATGTGCGTGTAATTATGACACCTAACTGCCAATCGAGTACTGCTCTCAAATTCGGGAATTTGAGGTACCCACGAGGAAAGACATCATCACAATTACCGTGAAAATAGCAATGGGAAGCTATGTTAAGTCGGTGGAAAAGTAAAAAGAACAGATATGCCAGGTCAGGATCGATAAGGGTACAGATTCTTTTTTGGATATTGTCACGAATCTCAATACACATTGCATAAGTTTTACCTTAATTATGGAACTTTATTAACTGAGACATCCGGAAGACGCACGGCACGTGGAACTAGAACAATCTACCCCGGTGGACGAAATAAATGGTTCGCATTGAAATTCTAATTACTTGAATAAGGCCGGAGCGTACAACGGCCGAAACGTTGTGAATGTGGTAATGAAGATGAGGACAACGGTCCGAATAATCTAATAATGAAAGTAAGACAAAATTCATAATCCGAAATCCTAACGATCTTTCTACTAAACTATAAATTAAACACCAATCTCTATCTATAAAAGGCAGGATGTGTGTGTGTTTTTGCACCAAAATTTACATGCACATGCTCCAAGTTAGTAGGAAGGCCAAGACCGACTTTGCATTTCCCAACTCCCATCGATAGTGGAAATAATCGATTTTTCCATGTTTATACGGAAATATGGCGCCAATTTGTTTACATTGTGCAGATCAGTACGAAAATTTCCATGATTGCGCAGGTCAGTGTTGCCAACATTGTGTGAAAATTTTCTGTGAATTGATTGGATGGTTTTTGAAATATTAGATAATAATTTGGCACGCAGTGTATATAAGGAAATAAAATGTATATAGCCTTCACTAATGCGGGAGCCGGCTTAATATTTGCTTACCTCTAAGAAAAAGTAATCTTTTTCAAGACTCAATAGAATTCAAAATAAATTAACACCATATATTAGAGAGAGGGTATCCCACAGACGAGGCTCTGCCGATGGGCAGAGTCTCATCCCGAGAAACTGACTCCGTTTTTACGTGGGTCTCTTGGGAATATTTGTCCGAGCCTACGGGCTCGGATACCCCACTTTAAACTCGGCCTTGTACCACATCTTGCTGCGTGGGTCAGCGGATAAATAATTCTATTAGAGAGGTTATATATATTGAACCTTCTTTGCATTGGAAGTAATAAACAAATATCGATGTCGTCCAGGAGGATTTTGCTATAAAGGTGTCTCAACATCATTAAGCTTAATGTATTTGATTTTATATTTTAGAATATACATTTCAACATTAAATGAGATCTTAAACTGGTAAGGTTGGATCTCCATTGTCATCTAATTAACACATTCTACGAAATAAAAATTGAAGTTATCACTTTTAGTTTTCTGATTTCTTTTATATAACAGTTACGATGATCTTATTTTATTTCCCTAAAATCTCTTTATTCTAAAAAATTATTTCAAAGATCACGAATTGCAAAAGTTTTTCCTGGTGTTAATTTTAATATTTATGCATCTCCATAGTATCTTAAAAATGCATTTTATGTCCTTTTGTAAAGGATTGTAAATTGCAGAATGTTAAACGCCTATCATTCTTGACTTTATTCGACGTATTTAAAATATTCTTCCATTTCCATCGAGTCGTGGGAGTTGAGAGTTAGGAGTGGAAGAGCTTAGAGCTTATCTTTACTAAATGTGGTTTGGTATGTATGTATGTATCTATCTATCTATCTATCTATCTCCGTCTATTTATCTATTTTAGTCTGTTCATATCTATCTATCTATCTATCTATCTATCTATCTATCTATCTATCTTAATCTCTTCATGTATATCTATCTATCTATCTATCTATCTATCTATCTCTTTATCTACCTATGTTGGTTTCTCTGTCTATCTATCTATCTATCTATCTATCTATCTATCTATCTATCTATCTATCTATCTTAGTCTCTCCATCTATCTATATCTATCTATCTATCTATCTATCTATCTATCTATCTTAATCTTTTCATGTATATCTATCTATCTCATGTAAATCTATCTATCTTAGTCTTTTCTATCTATCTATCTATCTATCTATCTATCTATCTATCTATCTATCTTAGTTTCTCCATGTCTGTCTGTCTATCTATCTCTCTATCTCATGTAAATCTATCTATCTTAGTCTTTTCATGTATATCTATCTATCTATCTATCTATCTATCTATCTATCTATCTATCTATCCTTTTAATCATGGATTGTCTTTGTTTGCCAAGGACTCTTCAAACAGATCCTGTGGACAAACACATTAAATCGACCGTTTCAATGTAGCAGGCCGTTGAGTTGGGTGCAGTTAATTTGGTAAAGGAAAGGATTTTCATTCGCGTATATATTTACTTCTAATGGACTGAAAACAAACAAAAGGAAATATTCTACTTAGGTAAATATTTATGCTTCTGTTTAGTTTTTTTTTTTTTATTGTTTTCCTTTTGAATTATTTTCAGTTTGTCTTTAATACAGAATCATTGTTAATGCCAAGACATTTTTCTTTCTCTTTCCGTACAATACACACTTCCATTGCTACAGGGACAAAGAAGAAAACGTGGAGGAGAAGTAGAAAACGAAAGATAAAACTGAAAAGGACAGAAATAATAATAATAATAATAGAAATAATAACAAAATAATAATAATAATAATAATAATAATTAGAAGAAGAACAGAAGAATGAGATATTAGTAGTTTTGAAAAAAATCCGCATATATAACATAAAATATGTGTGTGTGCATGTGTATATATATATTCATTGAAAGGGCCGGTGCAAAAGTTTTTTTTTCATCCTGGATGGAACTGTTCCATTGAGCACACGCATACACTCGCGTATACACGCACATACATAAATATATACACAGGCTGTGATGGCTAAATTGTCGCCATTTTATATTTTTCATTTCGCGCATGCGCGTTGTTTGTTCTTGATTTTATCGACTGCACAAGCTAAGATGGGCACCGTCAATGCGGTAAAAAAAATCACCTTTACGCAATTCACATTTGGAAACAGCATGGTGTACGACTTGGCATTCCCGTCGAAAGCTCAATTATAAACATTTCAGTGTTTGGTTGTTAATCTGATGACAGCGCAGAGGATTCGTAAAGAGTTATATGAGTCTAATTGTGATTAAGAAGGTAGGACATCTGGAAAAACTAAAAATACTGACTTTTCTGATAAAAAAGAGACTTCCAAAGTTGATGGTGTTTACTTGGGACTCATCAAGGAAGCCTACATCAAGGGCCTTGAGGAATTAGTGTTTCCCTGTGACAATAGGGGGGGCTGCTGGAAGATACTATATTAGGCATTAGGACACTGAACTATACAACAAACAGGAAAACCCAGTTATTGCCGCTGGACAATTTCTGCCACCACATCAACACTTAATCTAGCAACCAAATTCTCCAGACTTTCATACCCCGTTGATTAATATGTGTCGGGCGCGGTTGAGCTGGAGATCAACAAAATTCCTTGTAACACCAAAAGGAACTAAAGGCAAAGATTATGGATGCATTCACGAACTTAAACAAAGACACCGCCCAGAAGACCAACTGGACATTCCGAAGTCGTCTGAGGCCGTGGTTGGTATTTCAAGATAATATTGTGCAGTTTTGGTAAATATATCTTTTAAAATGAGATGCCAGTGTTATTTTCATTTTTGGGTAATTTATCCAATAGTTTATCCATTGCACGATAGATAGATAGATAGATAGATAGATAGATAGATGAGATAGATAGATAGATAGATATGAATGAGATGAGATGAGATAGATAGATGAGATAGATAGATGATAGATGATGAATAGATATGAAGAGAGAGATAGATAGATGATAGATAGATAGATAGATAGATAGATATGAATAGGCTGAGATAGATAGATAGATGGATAGATATGAACAGACTGAGATAGATAGATAGATAGATAGATAGATGGATAGATAGATGAACAGACTGAGATAGATAGATAGATAGATAGATGGATGGATAGATGGATGGATATGAATGGGCTGAGATAGATAGATAGATGGATGGATGGATGGAGATGGATGGATGCTGGGATGGATAGATAGATGGATGTGAACAGACTGGGATGGATGGATGGATGGATGGATGGATGGATGGATGAGATAGATAGATGGATGATATGAACAGACTGGGATAGATGGATGGATAGATAGATAGATGGATGGATGGATGGATGTGAACAGACTGGGATAGATGGATGGATGGATAGATAGATGGATAGATAGATGGATAGATGGATAGATGTGAATAGGCTGGGATAGATGGATGGATGGATGGATGGATGATGGATGGATATGAATGGGGAGATAGATGGATGGATGGATAGATAGATGATATGAATAGACTGAGATAGATGGATAGATGGATAGATGGATATAGACAGATGAGATGAACAGACTGAGATATATATATATATATATATATATATATATAGAGAGAGAGAGAGAGATAGATAGATAGATAGATAGATAGATAGATAGATAGATATGAACAGACTGAGATAGATAGATAGATAGATAGATAGATAGATAGATAGATACCTACCTACCTACCTACCTACATGTGAATTAGCCTGATTTCAATGAAAAGCATGTGAAGTACTTTCTCTTTGCTTTCACCATGGTTCTGAATTTGCAATATTCTGGTGGTCACCTAGGGCTAGCTGGCATTAAATCTGAAGCCCAGTTTACCCTACAAAAGAACGCATAGCTGGGGATGAATTTTATCTATTAATTCTTTAGGAATTCCAATGTTTACGTTTCGGTTACAAAACATAACAGATATGAATTTCGAGACAAACTGAGCGAATAAATGTGTTTAAAGGCAAACAGAACTTTGTTTGATTGTGAAGCATCCCGTAGCTGAGCGGTGAAAGCACGCTGAATAAGAATTTTCTTCCTCCTGCAAAAAGGTATGGGGTTTCGAATCCTACGGATGGTGGGGGTTCCACCTTCTTTATTTAGTTTTCTCGAAGTCGAAATAAACATTGTTAAAAAAGTGGAACTACTACTGAAATAGGGGTATCCATTAAATTCATTGTTTGAAGCAATAAAAATATCTTTCTATCTATCTATATATATATTTTTTTTAAGCATTACGCTCTGAGCAAGGCGTGAAGCCACTAGGATGCAGGGGGTTGCAGAAGATTTGGAGCGAGAGCAGATAGGAGTGATAGAAGAAAGGATGAGGAGAGGGATAGTGGATAGATCAAGGTAACTGGAGATGTCGATTGACATTACATTTGAATAGTTGGAGATTATAGCTCTCAGGGAAACAGTAATTGGGAAGGGTGTTCCACAGGCGAGAGGTGCTAGGTATGAAGCTATCGGAGTAGAAGAGACGGCTACATTTAAAAGTTTCTACAGTGTAAGGGTGAGAGCGGGATGCCAGCCTCGTGGGGTGCTTGAATTCATGAAGTCTGGGAACCAGTGAAAGCAGCTCATCAGAGCAATTACCATGAAAATATTTGTAGAAAAAAGACAGAAAGAGGCGACGGCGCGTCTGTGAGAGAGTGACTGTAGACAAGATGCCAGATCAGGGCCAATTACATTACATATCCGTCTCTGGATCTTGTCAAGAACTCCGAGGTAAACAGAAGGTGCCCCAGACCATATATGGCAGCAATACTCCATGCAAGGGCGAATGGTTGTTTTGTATATTTGAAGTATCGATTCAGGGGAAAAAATATATATATATATATGTGTGTTTGTAATATATATATATATATATATATATATATATATATATATATATATATATATATTAAAAAAGATACAGCAGCATTGTAAACGGTATGGGCGAAAACCAACACCAGTACTTAAATGTACATATCAAACGAGTGATGTAAGATAAGAAAGCATCTATTGTGTTAAAATACTTCAAAGAATCTACATCCTAACTTACAGATGTAATCATAATACGTGATAAACTTTTCAGCAAATAATTTAGTAAACACGCGAAATATATTAATCTGGAAATAGAAATTACAAGAACGTGTTCTTTAAAGGAAACTATTATTCCTTTGTAATAGAATCGAAGAATGACGAAGAAGAAAATAAAATTCCTCGAAAAATCCATCTATGCCTGCAATACAAAAGACTGTGTTAATGAGTGCAGTCAGTAAAATTCAGCGCCGACAGTAATATATATATATGAGAGAGAGAGAGAGAGAGAGAGAGAGAGAGAGAGAGAGAGAGAGAGAGAGAGAGAGGACACACGGTGGAGTAATGGATAGCGGCTTGGATTGAGGAATCGGAGAGCCGAGTTCGAATTCCAGTCAAATCCATTACATTCACTTACGTGTTACTACCGTTGGGAAAGGGTGGAAATCTTCTTCTTCTCCCTCCAGCTATGGATAAAATAGCAGGACAGACTGGGTTCTATAGCCTTGGATGGCAACTGGTCTAGGAGAAGGACAAATCTGAATTCAAAACCTGCGGATTGTCGTTTGGGAACTTGTGGCACGTAGTGAACCAGGTCTCTGTATTCGGCCCTTCAAAAAGTGTGGATGGTCCTGCACGAAGCCTTCGCCACTATAATCAAATCTCATGTGCTGTTGTCCGGCTGTCAGTTTCCTAGGAACTTATCTGCTTGATCCTCATACGTCAGTATATATATATATATATATATATATATATATATATATATATATATATATATATGTAGTATATTAATAAATACACCTATATATCATCTCTCTGTCCCCCCTCTCTCTCCCTCCCCCTCTCTGTCTCTCTATCCATCTATCACAATATATTTATCTCTCTCTTTCTCACCCTCTCTCTCTCACTATCTATCCATCTATCTATCTACCTATCTATCTCTATCTATCCATCTATCCAAAACTTCACTTCTCTCTCTCTCTCTCTCTCTTTGCATCTCAAGCTCTTCATATCTATCTATCTATCTATCTATCTATCTATCTATCTATCTATCTATCTATCTTATATATGATGTGTGTATATATATATATTTATGATGTATATTATTATATAATTATATATGATCTATATATATATATATATATATATATATATATATATATATATATATATATATGATCTATATATCATACATATATGATATATATATGATATCGATATAGATCATATATAATTATATAATAATATACATCATAAATATATATATATATATATATATATACATCATATATATTACAGATATATATATATATATATATACACATCATATATAATGCATATATATATATATATTACAGATATATATATATATATATATATACACATCATGTATAATATATATATATATATATATATATATATATATATATATATATATATATATATATATATATATTCTTTGATTCAGTAATGTATCTTCTTGCACAAATATTGTGCTTAAAATAACAAATGCCGCTGACGATTTGACAACATTGTTCTCGGCTTTATTTCTTGTGAGTGAACAGGTAAGTTATTCATTTACATGCCTGACTTAATCCGAAAGTCTTGCTAAAGGCTTTTGACATCTGCGTAGCTCTGAGAGGGACTTAGGCGAAGATAACTATGGTGAAAATAATCCAATAAATTTGGCAGAAAAACACAAAAAGCACCTTGCATGCTTCATTACATCTTTCCAACTCATTTCGTAAAAGATTTCCATTTAACCTTAATGTTTTTTGTTTGTCGCATCGTTTGCTGTATATTGTTGATACGCGCACCGACATCTCGTCTTTCTGAATATTTTAAAATATATCTCTGGTTGGGAAGATATTTTTTTCACTTAATAAAAATAGGATACTCCCAGAATTATTAGTAACTTCGTAGTTTATACGAAAATATTTAATGGAATTATTTCTTCTTGTTTTCACACCGTGAAATATTTTATTTCGTCATATTAAGATATAAGTCGATTATATCATTATCTATTCCGGACTGTTCAGCTCACGCCATAAGTTTGCACGTTTCAATATGCATATATATATATATATATATATATATATATATATATATATATATATATATATATATATATGAGCAAATGTTTCTAACTTAGCTGATTATGTTAACTTCAACATCCCGACTCAAGAATTTCGTAAGTGGATCTCTCTGTCGACACCTCTTGGGGTATTAGCAATTTACTGCTCATATATATATATATATATATATATATTAATATTTAAGCAGCAATTTTTCATTAATGCATTTTTCATTAAATAATATAGACAAGTTTTGTCTATTTATTTTAAGTAAGTTCCAACAGAAACAGACTTGTTATTGTTTCGTCCGTGTATTGTTTGATATATTGAAAAGTAATTGTCATCTTTGATAATGGCTTATGTAAGCCGAAAGCTTAGATTGGATTTAAAAATGTACCAATATGGTGATCTCCTTTCGACTTTCAATGATAATGTTATTAAGCTTATCAGACAATATGAAAAGGAACTTACTAAAAATAAATAGACAAAAAAAATCTATATTATATATATATATATATAGATGGATGATAGATATATAGATAGATAGATATATATATATATAGATAGATAGATAGATAGATAGATAGATAGATAGATAGATAGATAGATAGATAGATATATTATTGTATAAATATATTATATTTACATTGTATACTGGGTGTAATATAGATAGATAGATAGATAGATAGATAGATAGATAGATAGATAGATTATTGTATAAATATATTATATTTACATTGTATACTGGGTGTAACAGCATAATTATCACAAATTGTCCAATTGTAACATTAAGCTTTGAACCATTGTATCTTAGTAATGATTAAATATAACTTTCTGTTATGGACTTTCAAGATGGAAGCCAGAATAGGAATGTTGCTAGCATTATTGAAAATCTGAACGATCTTTTTCCTCTCACTGTTGCTCAGTTGGCTCATAGTGGGACTGATAAAAAAGGGTTTTAAATTGTTCTCTTTTTAAATGAATAACTCAAATGGTTTTCTGTCTATATTTCTAAGATGAGGTATTATGTACACTATTTACATTATTTCGACTATTGTCCACATCTTTGTCAACGTATTTATTACAACGTTTCGACTGTTGTACGCTCCAGCCTTCTTAATGAATACAATATGGGAACCAGTAATAAGGAGTGCAAGAGAAAAGTGATAATAACAACAAAAATTGCAATATGAGCTATGGTAAAAATATGTTTGATAACAGCGAAAATTGCAATATGAGTACTGGTTAAAAAAAAACGGTTACTGAAGACATTAGGTTTATAATAACCAGAAATTCATACACATATGTCCTCAAGGACACATGGCAGAGAGGATAAAGGCGTTGGTTAGATCCAGTGACAAACTATTGTTTCAATTGTTCAATACCCGATTAAGGCAGTGGAGAAATTTCAGAGGGAAATTAACATGAGATAACTGATAACTGACATTCATTAAACATGGCACGTGGAACTAGAACAGTCTACCCCAGTGAGCGAAATAAAAGGTTCAGTTCGACATTCCAACCACCTGAAGAAGGCCGGAGCGTACAACGGCCGAAACGTTGTAAAAAATATGGAGACAAAGATGAGGACAATAGTCTGAATAATGTAAATAGTGTCAAAGGGTTTTTTTCCTGCAATCCTTACGACATTTATCGGACCATATG